GCTGATGAACCCGTGCTGGTTGCCCCTGAGCATGCCGTTCCCTGCTGGCCCCTCCTGGATGTGTGCCAGAATAATTTTCTCGAACAGCTTGCCCAGGATCGAGGTAAGGCTGACTGGCCTGTAGTTCCCTGGGTCCTCTTTCCTCCCCTTTTTGAAGATGGGAACCACGTTGGCCCTCTTCCAGTCCTCCGGCACCTCTCCAGAGCACCACGAGTGTTCATAAAGCCGTGCCAGGGGACTTGCAATGACCCCAGCAAGTTCCTTCAGGACTCTAGGGTGAATATCATCCGGGCCGGCTGACTTAAAAATGGGTGGAACATTGTAGAAAGCCACCAGACTAGGGAGGGTCAGGCCCTTTGTGGGCTTTGCTTGTGTTATACAGTCAGTGGGCAATGTACCAGATTATGGGACATGCTTCTCCGATTCCTCAGACAAGCAGTAGGTAGCACTCTTTGTTCACAGAGGGACTCAAGCTGTGAGACTTGCCAGATCTTTTGAATGGGGGATAGGGTGATGCTCACACGGCACATACAGGACTGACTATGATACTCTTTGAGCAAATGCCCTCAAGGAGGAACACTGGATCGACTTAAGAGATCCTTTACTTCTCTGCTGCCTGAGGAAGAGAAGAAGTCAGTCTGTGCACATGATTGTGGAAACGTATGACAGGAATATTTAGACACCAAGCCAGCCTTAATGAAAATGGTGTCCTGGGAAAATCCACCCCACTATGCTCAAAAGTGTCTGAGTCAGTAAGTCTGTCATCCAGAGGTACAAATTTGTGTATGGGCCTCACCTCGTGCATCTTTGCAATGCCAGAGCCTCTTCGGCTACTGACACATGCAAATGGTGCATTTTGGTGGTAGCCACCACCCCAGCGGAAAGCAGCAGCCTTGAGCAGAAGGCTTTGGCAGCAGTGCCCAGGGAGATGGCTCCCCCAGCAGCTCGGAGCCAAGGAGCACTTGAGGCCCACAGAGGTGGTGCTGAGCACATGGGCAAACAGGAGGCAGCTGGAAAGTGTGGCGCAGGCTCCCCGGACACCTCACTTCATCCACTGCAGCTCCCCCGTCACCACGAGCTGCCCCCTGCCAGCCTCGCCACTGCTGCTGCTACCCTCCGCTGCCAACCGATTCTCATCCCCCACGTCCTCCTCAGCAGTGGTCCTGCCCAGGTAGGTAGCCAATCTGCGCACTGCCCAGGGGCAAGTGTGCCAGGAGCTCTTGGGAAGTGCTGCCACGCTGCAAGTAGCTGCTGGGCACAGTGAATCAAGCCTGGCTGGACTGGGCACTGAGAAGAATACACTCGCTGCCTCCACCCGCGTGTCTGCTCCTCTTATTGGTAGGGATCTAAGTTGTGGCGAGTAGAAAGGGATGTTTGTGGTCCACACGCAGAACCCATTTCTCGGCCTTTTCACAACAAGAGCATCCCTTGCCACCGATTGGCCAAGAGGGCTGTCCTCCATGTGCCCCACCCCTCACCATGGATTGGTAGAGAGGGGCAGGACTGCATGACGGGCAGCACTCTCAGCCAATCAGCAGCGAGGGGTGGGGGGCGTGGCCACTCTCTTGGCTGCTCTCCTTGGTGCTGGTGGCTCCCCACCTCCCACCCCCCTGGCAGGCTGCAAGGCTAGGGAGCCAACCCACTGGGGAGCCAGCACTTTATTTTTAGTAAGTTTTTTGTTTTGATTTCATGGACATCAACTGATTTCACAGCTTCCATGAAATCACAAACTAAGTAGGTCCCTACTTATTGCTGCTGACACTCACTGCTGCTTCTAGGAGATGATGAATTGTTGATGGCAGTTGCCCAGCTCCTACTGAAGGCAGAGGGGTGAGAGAAAGCTGCCTGTCTCTGGAAGGAGGGACGCTCACAAGCTGTGGACACTGGAGAGAGGGAGTGAGGGAGAAGGGTGGCCTCCCCCCACTCCATTCCCCCTGCTGAGCCTGGCTGGCTCAGCAGGCAGCCACAAGGACTCCCTGGGGAAAAGGGTGGCACTGCATGTGTGTGTGTGTGTGTGGGGGCGGGGGTGCCCTGTGTCCGTGATGCCCTGGGCAGTCTCCTACATCCGCCACCCCTAAGGCCATCTCTGTTTAAACATATTAATTGGAGGAATTGAGGTTAAAAAGTTATTTGCCAGATTGAAAAATGTTTACTTTGTACTTCAGTAATCCTACAGCATCTCACAAACATACTCAGACTTTGGTAAAATTCCAAAAAAAAACCCTTCCAGGGTCAACTTTAAGATAAGAGATTTTGTAACCTAAAGAATGACATGGAACTGTGCATGGAGTAGCAGCTTTACAGCTTACCAAAATCAACCACGTCCCAAAGGAACACAGTTTAAACAGCTATATCCACAAACCAGCTATATAATCACATTACAAGGCCATATTTGGAACCTATTTGGAACATAAAAGGTCAGGTTTTTCATGCAAGAAAATATTAATGGGTTTTTGGCTCACTATCTTTATTGTTGTCTCCTGGGAGGTAGGGGGAGGGGGAAGTCTAATGGGGATTTAGGATAAAGACCCTAATCAAAGTTTAATTTTCATGGCTTAGGTACAGTGTGGCATAACACTTACTGTTAAGATGGTAGTATTTATTAGATCAAGAGTGGTGGTTTAAAATGCTCTTTTGAAGTATGCCTGGAGTCCACTTCTGATCTCCCTGTCTCCAAGCAAATTTTTTAGTCATTCATTGGGGATGGGACTGGGCTGGTGTGAAACTTAAGTGTTGTCATGACTTAAGATGACATAGAACAATAAAAAGCCATCTGCCTCATAGCGGGGAAGTTGAACTACTGTTAGACAACATACCATATTATGTGATTAGCACTGGTGGTGGCCTATGTCTACAAAGTAATGTCCATCTGCGCAGGGCTCCCATGTAGCAAAGTTTACCCAGAGCTTGCAGGGAGAATGAGTCAAATGCAGTAACTAAGCCTGTAGGCTAGGATTTTAAAGCTGGACTACAGTGGGGCCTAGGGATGTTTGACTCATCCTCCTTCAGTTGAATACATCTCCTTTCTCAGAATAAATAAGAAGGATTTTTCCTTGTCTGAAGTGCCACCCCCTTCAAGATCAGATCAAATCATGCAGTAACACATCTAGGATCAACTGTCCCAGGTTTCCAATGACACAGATTTTCAGGTAGCTAAAAGAGCGGGCATTATTTCCTGTCATTGCTCTGAATTTGCCAAGCACAGGAATGGCAAATAGAGCCTCACTCTTCTGAGCCAACTACCATCACATAAGCAAAGTAAATGGAGGGTCAAGACAAAGAAAAACAAGTCTTTGCAAAACAGAGAAAAGTTGTTTTTTTGCAGTACTGATACCCTGCGGTCTTCCCTGGTCAGTTGTCACACTTAAGTCAGTCAGATTTTTGGAGGGGATTTCCTTGAAAAGAATGTGCCTCCTTCCATGAACATCCACCCTACTGTTCTCAGAAGTGTCTGCATCAGTAGGTCCATCATCCAGAGGTACAAATGCATATACGGTCCTCACCTCGTGCACCTTTGCAATGCTAGAGACTCTTCCAGCAGATCCCTAATGTGCATTTTAAGGTACTTAACTAGACTTTCCCACCTCAGAGACCTGTAACAAAGCATTAGGAGCCCAAGAAGCAAGTAAAAGGGAGAAAAGTTAAAGTCCTGAGTGGGTGAAGAGTCTGTCAAAGGCCTGCCACAGTTGTGGTGCCTGTGTGCTGGGCAGGGTGCTATTTCTACTGCTGCATGGTCAGAGATACCTGGCACCTCAAGAGTTGGGGGACAGAAGACACAACAGCTCCCCCTCCATAAAGGCTGGCAGTGTGCACCTTCTGCCTGAGGGGGAATCCTAAGGATTGTGCAGTGTCCCTCTGCATCTGATATAATTGGTAAAGATTGTGCCTCAAGGAGGGAATTACTCCCTGAGCCACAGTCCCCTCCCTCCCACCTCCTCCAGATGCCAGTGGCTGCCTGTCACAACTTGATGCTAGGTGATTTGCCCAAGGCTATACAGTGAGTTGCTGGCTGAGCAGGGAACAGGAGCCTTCTCTCTCCCTGGACACAGCTCTCCCCAGTGGGGCGAGGTGTCCTGCATTTTTTGTTTCTGTTTTTAGGCACCGAAGCAGGGAGAGAATCTCCACTGCTTCATAAATTCCTGTATCTTTGAATTAATAATATTAAGCTAGACACATCTTCAAGATCAGGGTACAAGGACATAACTCGATCCACATCGTTATAGGGGAACATGGAGCAGAGCACTGTATGGATGCATGCCCGCTCACCAGCCAGAGGACCCGGAGCATGGCTCTGCAGGAATTCACCATGTGGACAGCCATCCACCCTGGGAAAGGAGCCAGACCGCTTACCAGACTCTAACGGAAAAGGCTGAACTGGAGGCTGGCTCAATAAATACTTTTGGTACCATGCATCTTCAGGCTTGCTGTATGGAAAGGGGTCGCTCAGGGGAGCCAAGGAAGAATACAGGCCTCGTCTGGCCTGAGAGCTGTCAGGGACATAAAGGATTCGCTGATCCTGGACTGCTTGTGTCTGCATATTGCAGCAGGGCTGAGCCCTGCCATGAGCTGGGTACCTACCCAGATGAGAACTTGGGTGGAAACGACAGCCCTGTAAGCACGTGCATTCCACGCTGTGGTGGTGGGCAGTGAAGTATGAACTGTGTCTATGATCCCAGCACTGATGAGGACTGTCCACCCTGTCCTCTGCTTGCACCATGCCTGCTGGCCCACTTTCACTGTATATGTGGTCACCAAGTGATAACATGGAGAGCTGCTTTTCCATGAGCCTTTGATCTCTCAATGGGTCTTGCAGAAATGACCTCTGTTCAGGTTCCAGCTTGTTTTGGGACCTGTCTGCCCAGGCCCTCCCTGAATCCTCCAAGTAGCTCCTTTGGGTCCACTCCACACAGTGGGGATCGACTGTAAAACTCTGCACAGAGCTGTTTCCCCTCACGCCACTGGATTCCTGCTGCCTCTTGGGGCAAGTGTCATGGGGTGCATTCTCTCCTCTGCCTGTAGGAGGGGTGGTCTTCAACTCTTCCTCTGCCCCCACGCTTAGTAAGGAAGCCTTTGTTTTGGCTCGGAGCTCATCAGCAACAGACAGCTGAGCATGATACTGCCTTTCTGGGTGGTAAAATTTGCACTTGCTGCCATATGTGCATTTTTTCCCTGAAAGAACAAAACAGAATGATGTTTGCATCAACCTAGAGGCAGGTGGGTTGGGGGGCTGGGGCTCAAGAAAATAACACAGAATTATGGTTTATTGTTTTATCTCGCATTCTTTTGAAGCCTCCCTTATTGAGCACTTCACAAACGTTATATGGTAATCAACCTACCAGCAGCACTCCTTGAAGCAGGGACATGCTCTTTGCTATTCCTTTTTCATTCTTTTGGCACCTGACTTAACAGTTGCTGATAGAAAACTGTTAAGTCATCCCTGGGAGAACATTTTTCACAGCTCCATCTCTGATCTCACTGTCCTTGTACTCAAGGGACTTACAAAATACCTTCAAGAGACGGGCCTGGCAACAAAAATGAATCACTCTACGGGACATTAAAAAACAGGGTCTTGCTCTTTCTGCTAATGTCTGTGCTTCCCAGGTAATAACAGCCCTCTTCCTTTTTGGTCGTATTCTTTTACATAATTAGGTTTATCTATTTCTACTGGTTTTACTTGGTTTGTAGATACTTCTTGTAACTTCTCTTTTCTCCCCAATTATCTGCCCTCTTCTTTTTTTTTGGTGACCAATTTCATATACTTTAGTGGAGTTAAAAGTAATTATTCTACCCAGTATTTAGCTTAGGCTGTATCTGCTTTTTCCTCAAGCTTGAGAAAGGGCCTCTTGTTCTAGAAAGACAGCCTAACTTTTCTCCCAGATGTACAGTTACCAAGAAAATTGTGCCGCTTGCATATTTCCTGGACCATCACAACTACAATGCCACAACAGCAGCATGGTGAAGCAGTAGTGATGCAAGGTAAATAGAAAATGCGACACATACTAACGCCAGAAATTATTTGGCTTATAACCACAAGCCAGGAGCCAGTCCCAGGCACAACTTGTACTCTCTCTGGCTGGGATTAGTAGTGGATCCCTTCTGGTTTCTTTGGTGAAGATGATGGGTCCAGATGATTAAAGTCCTCTCACTTGGCTACAGGCTCTTCCATCTATATCTTCTCACATATTAGTAGGTGCTGGGAGGAGGGGCAGGGCTTACCATTACAATGAGGTTAAAGGATCTTATTTCTGAATGAACTCTATCCTTCTGTATTACTGCTATCTAAAGAGGGGTCCAGAGCAAAAACCCAAGATTAGATTAGAACATTATATGAGGAAACTCAGATGGAGAACCACATTTGGCCAGTATGGCATGGACCTATTTGTGGATCACCTCAGTGCAGCTGGGTGAGGGAGATGCACAACAGGAACCCATAGTTGTCTTGCTGTTCTGAGTAGACGAGATTGAAGGATATGCTCTCAGTGCAGAAACAAAGGCGTGGGAGGAGCTAGCTTTTCATGGTCTTGGACATGATTATTTCTGAAGCAGTGAAGTGAGAGGGAAGACCAGAGCTGGCTTTAAGAATACCACACATTTGAGAGGGTTTGGGACTAGATGCATCACCTTGACACTCAGCCTTCCAGATCCCTGCCTGTTCACTACAAGAGTGCAGATGTTGTTCAGTGGGTGGCACCAACACTCCGCCTGCACTCCCAAGGCTGGGGGGGGCACATGCTCCCCCTGACAGGGGCCATTCCCTGTTGTCGATGCTGCCAGCGGCTTCTGTGGGTGCTCGCCAGCCCCGTCCCTGCAGCCGCCGGGTTCTGCAGGTGCTCACCAGCCCTGTCCCTACTCCTGATGCTGCTGGCAGCTTCTGCAGGTGCCCCCCGAGACTCAGGAGACACCAGTTGCCCATGGGTGGGAGAAAGCAGGCAGGTAGCAGTGTACAAAGCTAAAAAGAAAGCTTACCATATGGACAGGGCTGCCATTTTGGTTCAGGAAGGGCTGGCTTTTTGCTGAGGAAATTAGTGAGAGTGGGTCCATGGCGGCCAAGGGGGTCATCAGGAGGCATAAATCTGAAAACCAAGTAGATAAGTCACTGGAGTGAAATGTACATGCTCCCAAGGGTGTTTCTGTCAAGCTCTAGACTGAGACCTGCAGAATTTTTAAATAGCTTGTGAAGCATGGCTATAAAAGAAAAGAGTCTTGTAACATATATACAGACCAAAACAAAGAAGGATGCACCTTCACACACAGGTGTACACATGCACAAACACACACTCTGGACCTCATCTTCCTGTGCAACAGGCTGGCACCATTTGTATGAACGTGTGGCTTTGGAAGACATAGTGATAGATCTTTGTTCAATACAGGTTTCCCTCGTTTTATGCAGGTCCTGTATGTGCATATTCGCTCTTATGCGATGACCCTTTTTATACCAAAAATTCGTAATATGCAAAGTAAATTCACTCTTATGCGATCAGTGTGGTGGAAGCCTGCAGTCAGCTGCTTTGTGCAGTGCATTGTGGGAGTGACACGCACCAAAATATAGTCTCCTGTGTGGATCTGTGCTCCTCGCTCGTTGTCTGTGACACGTGTTTCTGTAGTTGCCATCCCTGTTATGATAGTGCCCTGTGCTTTGTGTACTGTCTGCTGTTGGTGAGTACCAAAATTATCTTGTAAAAGTGGTAGAAATGGGTCTGAGGGTCAGTATAGTTGAGGTCTTGGGACATATCCCTATTAGTTGCATTGTAAAGTGGGTTCCCTGTATGTGTATTCAACTTATGTGCCATTTTCCAGGAAGGAATGTACAGCATAAAGCGAGGGAAACCCGTATAAATTTCCACTTGAAGACTCTGCCCCAATATTGTATTTCCTAGAAGTATGCTCAGTTCAACTACTTATTATAACTACCTTGTCCCTTTAACATGGTGCTTCATAAGGAGACATCATAGAATGAATTAAAAATGAGCACCAAGATAGCCATTGATGAATTAATCTTCAGGACACCTGTGTGGAAGAACCCTTTTACCCACAGGGAAAGTGAGAGGCAGAGGGTAAGTGACCAGTTCAAGCCATAGAAAAATCCAAGGAGATGAGAACTAAAGATCTCCTGGTCCTCTGCTCATAATCTAGTCTGCACATCTCTCAACACACCCTGGCTGGCTGTTGCTGTAACCTTTCCTTTTGTGGCGTTGCTTAAGTGATACAACAACAAAGATACCTAATGTGGAGGCAAATAAACAAGTCAAGAACTAAATACATAAATCTCTCTATATGAAATGGAATCAGCTCCTAGGCTGACGCTTAAAGCTGTTTTAAGACTGTCTTAACATGAAGTTCAGCAAGCAAAATTGGCAGAAATAGGTGGGGGGGGGTGTTGTTCGTTTGTTTGTGGTCAGGGTCCTGAAAACATTCTGACAATTGTAAGACTCAGAAAAAAAGAAACCTTATGTAATTAGTTAATAATCAGGACTGTATCCTTCTGTTTGTTAGGAAATAGAGCTGAACTTTGAGACGCACTATGTACAGCTGATTAGAGATACAAAACAACCAGACAACATTATATGAAGAGAGAACTTGGCGAAACTAGCCAACTGTGGCCTTGGGTCCACCAT